ACCCATATTTATCAGCCGAAGTGGCAAACCTTATTTGTCAAGTTATCAGTTGTACCTAACATCAATTGTTCCTCAGAAAAAAACACAGAAATCTCTAACAAGTAACTTCATTTCTTTCACCTGCAGAAGCAGATAAGGTAATTGATCAGATAACTTTGATTCTCAATCAGAGCAATTCTGTTGAAATTCCAGGATACCCTTCATGTATGTACAAAACTTGTTGTGTTTTTTAAAACCCTGCCACAATTCTAGATAAAATTCAATGCTTTCAGAGCGTACGTGCCTAACAGAGTTTTTCAGTTATAGGTCACTTGCAGTTTATTGCACTTCCAGAGAAAAATTTTACTGTTTATATTTTTCAGAAAGATTGCCCCCCTTTTTGCCTAAGTTCAATCAATTGTCAGACTGACACGCTATAAGCAATAACTTCAAAAATTGTTTGTGATTTTCTCTGAGTTGTTATTTTGGTAATGTTGGCCTATAATGACCTCAAATCCAAATGCATTGAATTGGACTTATCCATTCAGATTTGGATTGTGAATATAATTCATTTTATCAAGAATATTTATCAGGTTAATAAAGTTTATCCATGAAGGTTGAGAACAGCATTTGAACTTTTGACTTTTGTTCACATAAGTTTTATGACATGGAAAGAATATCAAAAGTTTGAGCTAACGTATTGTGCTATATTTGATTAAAAAATAATTGAAATTCCCTTACTTATAGGTTTTGAGCTTTACATTTATGATGAAAGTTCTGAGAGTACAATAGGAAAATCAACACCCAACTTTTTTTGTCATCACTATTCTTGGTAGTTTGACAATGACTTGCTGTGTGCTCTATTCAGCGTCTGCAACATTTGTTACACAAGATTAGCCAGTTTGAATTCTCCAAGCCCGTCCCTGCAGCAACATGAATTTGTCAATTTTGTGTGAAATCCACCTCAAGTTCCCCCATGAAATCCACAACATAGTGATAGCCAACACATCGTACAAACACTGATAGTAAGAAAATATCGCTCTCTTGACCTGACAAAGGGAGAAATCTGTGATACTCAAACATAAAATTGAACAAAGTACCCTTATGAGGCACAAATGAAAGCTCTTAAACGGTCCCCTTCATTTTCTCAATACATTATCTCACCCAAGTTACTGTAACAGCATTCCCCGCGGACTTTCCTTTTTGAAAAGAAAGAAAATACAAACTTGGACAAACGGTTGAGACAGCATGTGCCCAGACAATCGTGGGGAGTGCGTTCAAATGTCCGGACAATGGAGACCTGTGAAGTCTTTCATGGTCTGGGTGTCAAAATGGGGGAGTGTACTTGAGAGTTGCGTTAGGCAGGGTTCTCAGCGTTTCATAAGCTAAAGTCAAGTGCATGGTAGTGGCCAGCACTTCCTAGAGTGGCTATTCTGAGGAGTAGCTTTAGTTTTCTTGCCGTACCTAGCCGGTGGTCGAGTGGTCTTAGCCCAGCTGAAGTGCGGTAGCGAACTAGAGTGTCAACTAGGACTTTCTCTGCCAGTAATCTGTTGTCTACTCCAACTTCCACTCTAAATTTGTTGAGGTTTAAGAAAGATTTTGTGCTTGCCGGTTTTGCGGAGAGTTTGAAGTTGCCGACTGTCACAGCTACTAACTTCCTGTGATCTGCACCTTCAAGTGTTGGCCCAACTTGTTGGGATGCTCTTTAGAGCCAAGACGTTGCAGTATTCTTCTGAAAATTGCTGACTTTTCTACAGGTGTTCCACTTACAATTGAGTTAATCTTGAGCTCCATGTACTAGAGTGTGCATTGTGGACACAGGATAAGCTGTACAACTGAAGTCAACTTGTGCATCACTGCTCTTGTTCAAGACAAAAAATCACTGCTCTTGTCCAAGACAAAAATGCCAAAGACTAGTGTTTTGTCGAGGAGACTTGAACAGAAGACAGCAAACCACACTCTTCATGTTGAATAAACATTGGAAAGTTATGATATGCTTGTTTATCTTGAGCTTCTATTCATGCACATCATTGTAGGTGGATAGTTGTCTTGCAATTCCACAAGATCAGAAGCGTGCTCGTATAGTAGCAGGTTTGGAGCAACATTCTTCTTCTTGGAGAAAAAAACTGTGGAAAGTTTCTGTTTGCCTTAATTTGTCTGTGTTTCAACTGGAGATAACTGGAGCTCGTGTCTAACTTGTGTTGCAAGGATTTATCAGAGTGGAATTTTACTCAAAGTAATATTATTAACAAAAATGACGCTGTACGTGAAGACTCAAGCGCGCTCTTCCCGGCGCATCCGAGGGACAGCACTCCCTGGCAGAGGAGAAGGCATCAAATGGAAAAATTATGGATTCATGTACATGAAAGGGTAGGATGCTTTTCAGATTTAGTCTTTTGTTTTTTACATGGATAGAATCTTGGTTTTTTTTCATGAGAATATTTTTTGACTGCCTGACTTTTAAAGCTATAGTATAACAAACTGTGAACTGTGGTAAGTCATTGCACCCTGTATCTTCTGTGAATGTTCCAAAAAGCTTTGAAATCCAGTTTCAGAACAGATTTGATGTCGAGGATTGTCTCCTACCCTTGGGGTAATTCTTGGGATTTGTCTGTTGTCACGTTTCATTTGTTGTGAGGACACACTTTTGACAAGTATTTCAGTTATACAATGCCGAAGCATCCATGCCGAAGGCTTGAAAAAAAAGCTTTTGAAATCTCAAGCAACTTTTCTCCTCAGGAACTATCAATTTGTTCCGTCTAATGATTACTAATAGAGGGATTAGTGATTGCCGGCTATGTTCTCATTCAAAGAGAAATCTTTTAAATCTCATCTAATCCCCCTAAGCCCTAAGGAAAAGAGGAAATGAAATGAAAGAAGAACACAGGGTTTTAGCATTCCATTGATAGAAGTATATTGTAATGGGTTTTTATGCTGCCTTTGCTTGCAGGGTGACTTTTCTTGAAGTGGTTCAGTTTTGGTCAATATCAGTTATTTTGATTTAGTTTGAATTCAAATGCTGCTTTCTGTCACATAACAGTTTACTTTAATGCTATTGGAGCTGAAAGCATGACATCTTAACATTAAAGTAATAAAAATGATAGGTATGTTTTGTAAACATTTTTTTTTTAACTACAGAATCGTCAGCGAATGGCAAAACAGGAAACAATTAAACAATTGTATCCTTTTTGCAAAATGCAATCATATAAATCAATCACGTATGGTTGCCAAAAACGATTGCAAATTTTCAATTTGTTTTGAGGGATTTATGTTGTATACACAATCTGGTTGATCAAGATGAAAACTTTCGACCAAGGATGTTATCCATGGTACAGTAACTGTTTCACCTTCAAATCAAATCGTAAATTTCACAAAAACGTTTGTTCAACCCCTCCCATCAAATACTGTGTTCCTATTGTCAGCATCACTGCAACAAGCAAGGTCACGTACCATTTGCCCTCCCAGGGGGGATATTGTTTATCCCCCTTGTGGTCAATTCGTCCTACAAGGTGGTAAATCAAGCAGAAATCCCAATACAGGAAAATTGAACAATAAATCAAACAATTTAGGAAAAAGTAACAAGTGGTTTTCTTTACTTTTGGACATCTTTGTAAAAAGCTGACGAGAAATAACAGTGGTGGAATATTTTTGAAAGGGCACCTACAAGACCAAAACAACACTTTTAGATTTTGTTGTAAGTGTGAGATGGAAAGATTTTTATAGTACAAACTTCTTTCTAAAGTTTTTTATTATTTTTGCAGAATGCATCATCAGTCAATTGCCCACATAGCAGTTCTTAGCCAGCATCGCACACACTGATTTTTACACAGAATGTTTAGTGTCAGAAGAATTAAAGTTATTGATTTAAAAGGAATGTTTAATAAGCTTACACAACTTGAAACAATACAGTCATACAGTGCTTAGTAAACACAAAAATTGGTATTACAATTAGAGGTATATTAAATCACATTTCCGAAGATTTCAAAAGTGAAATCTTACACTCACACAAAATTAAACTTATTCCCCAGTTGTGGCATAAAGATAGACAACCAATGAAATGACACAACCGTTGAAACTTCCGTCACTTTGGTAAACACTGCATACAGTTTGATTTCCCTTCAGCGATTGTTGTTTACTGAAGTGAGTGTCTTTTCACGGGGCACAGCCCAAATTTCTTGTTTTGAAAACAAATTGAATGATGGAATTTAGAGGTATTGTTGGGTCCCTTTCTTCCATTCTGTGCTGACCATCCCAATGTGCCTGAGGTAGTGGAAGGCAGCATCACAAGTCCCTCATTTGTCTGCTTGACTTTTTCGCTGATTGAGGGAGTTGTTTTGCATTTGCCCGGCTTCTAATGATTGTCACAAGGAATGCTTTGTGACACATGCCTTGGTAATGTACATGTATCATTAGGTACGTAGGCAAGAAATGAAACTCAAATTGACTGAAAAAACAACAAGCATTTAGTAGAGCACTGGCAGTGTGAAGGACATGTTTCTAGCATAAAGGCCCGTTCACATTGAGCAAAGTTTTGTGGTTTGGACCGTGTCCAACCTAGTTATTTTTCCCAACTCTTCCCACTTTCACTATTACAGTCTATTCTGACATGTGTACAGAGCAGTTTCTGCTGTGAAACCAACCCAGGTTGAGAAGACATAATGCATTACATTGTACTTTGATCCCTCATGATAAATGAATTTGATTTCATGACACTTTTAGTACAGTAAATTTGCTTGGAGTTGAAATGTCTCCAAGTTTGTGATTTTGCAGCCCGATATTTGCAGCGACGTCATAAGATTTGTGTTTTCTGTCTACTCCACAAATTTGATTATTAAATTCAATCACAATGAAAGTATGTACTGTCTACTCATGCACATAACAGAGGAATAAAGACGCCATAGAGGACACTCTATCAAAGGGCTCTGTTACGCTGTGTGTGAACTAGCCTAACCTCAGAAATTGCATCCTGGTATTTTGTGTTCACTACTTTTCAAGATTTTTGTTTTGTCTTATCTTTGCAGTATTGACGACAGCAGCTCTATAAGCAGTGGGATAAGTGACACCATCGCTGAGATCAGCACCGATGAGAACATCACTGGCTCTTCCATCAGCTGTTCCTCCTCCCAGGCATCCTGCAACCTCCTCACCAGGGACGGCATCAAGCGAGGGCGTGCTTCATCCGACGACAGCCGTTCACCGGGAAGTTCGGCACGGAACTCTTGCGAATCCGGCAAAAACCTAGAGATCTTTGGCGACGGAGGGATACCCATTGACTGTGGAAAATCCTCGCCCCAGAGGCGGGCATTGGAAGAAGCGCGCCGGAAAAATGGCGAGAATTCGCCTCGCAGAAACGCTCTGAATAAGAGTATACTGAAGGAGGCTACATCTGGTGGACAGTCACCGAAACGTAACAGTAACGGAAGGAACGGCAAAGGGAGTAAGAACGATCAAGGTAAGGGCAAGAAGTCTAAAGGAGACTCATGTAAGTCGGAAAGCCAGAAAGGACAGAGTAAGATGAGTGGATATCCTGAGAGGGGGACGCTTGCATCGCCAACGGGACGGAGTGGCATCCCACCACCGCCTCCAAGTTGGCAACGTAGCCTGGATCGTATTCAAGTCCGACAGTCACAGGCTGCTAGGCGTGCTGATCCAAGCCTCTCTCCAAGCCTGCCGAGGTCTAGAACTGGTGGGGTCAAGTATGAGAATGGGTCAGGGACGCTGGATCGCAGAAGCGGTGCCCGAAACAGCCAGAGGAATAAAGATGAACAGGAGATCCCTTGCGCTCAAGATTCCAGAAAGATGGCAGCTGGTCGAGCTCCAGGCATGCCTGGGTTTGGGTTCCGACCGGCAGGAGCACCAGCAACGTCAAGCTCTGCAACCACTCCTGGCAGTAAGACTGCCGTCACACCTTCCAAGACTGGCAACTTTGGATTCCCAGGGAGCAGCAGTAGGTCTGGCCGGGTAGGTGGCTCCCTCAGCGGCTCAGAATCAGCTCCTGAGAGAGGCAGCATCAGAATGAAATCTGGCCAGAGAGCAGGGCAGAAACCAGGCCAGAAGACAAGCCCGACGTCTCCTCCAGGTACCAATGCCAAGGCTGACGTGAATGCAAACACAGAAGCCAAGAAGAATCAAAGAAACCAGGAGAGGATGGCAACAGGACTGCTGTCTCCAACTGGATCAGAATCTGGCAAAGTCAAGATGGGAGGCAGCAAGACTGCCCTTTCTTCCAGCCCTTCGCTCAAGCAGCTCTTTGGCCGCAAACCAGAAGGTGCCAAGACACCAGGAAGCGCCTCCCAAGATACCATCATCTCAAACCCCCACGCCACTCTGGCCAAGCATGGAACATCACCTCCCCGCCACCCACCCACAACCACCCACAACCAATTTGCAGCTCCAGTCGGCGCTCCCCGCCGATCCTCAACAAACATGTCCGCAGACCTCTCCCTGACCAAGACCCCTTACTCTGATGCCTTACGCTACAGCGGCTACCTAAGCGATAGCTATTCAGGAGCCCGTGACAGTGGGCTTGGGTCTCTCCACGCCGGTATGATGGGTCCTTACGCCCGAGCCAACATGCACCCCAGCTCTCTCTCAACCTTAAACAGGTCCGAGAGCGGCAGCATGGAGTCCCTCGACTCCAACAACTCCAGCTCTCTATCCATGACGAGCCGCGCTACAAGTGAACGCTACGGTTTGACCTCGCCATCCTCCAATGGTCCATCACCGCATCACAGAGCACAGCCTGACAAGATGTTGAGTATCTCCCTCTCAGGAAAGGACGCAGAGGAAACGGCTTGGCTGCGAGCTAACGGTTACCCTACCACAACTGATGGGGCTCCTCCGCTATCACCAGCAAGCTCCACTGCCTCTCAGCCTGTCGGCCAATTCTTTGCCATCCCTGGCATGAACCAAAGGTAAGAACTCTACTTAAAAATCATTGATTACTTTCTATTTTGATAAAGTTTTGATTTTTTTTACAAGAAATGAATCTTCACTGCCATTTATCCCTAAGTGTGATGATTATGATAGCATCCATCATTTCCAAACCCAGTTTTGGGGAATGGACTTCGATAGTGTCCCCTGTGGTTAGTTTCATTGAGATGCTGGAACGGACAATCCTACTAAGTACTTTTTTGGTACTAAGGTAAAAATCAGCTGACTACCAGTCACAAGCCGTATAGTTTGCATGACATTTTCACTGGTAACCTGTTTTTGCTCATCAAATATTTTGGGTTCATTTTTAAAAATCTATTTAAACAAATCTTGTTTGTGGTTGTGAATTCTCAGACAAAGCAGCTGTAGTTGTTCATGCGACACTCGCCTGTTTGTCCTCAGCAGTCTGTTGTTTCAACGCATTTCCACAATGCGTTGTCTTATGCGTCTTGACTATCACGGCCGGTATCGGTCTCAGTGAGTGTGGCATCTTGCATGACACTCGCAAAGTCCTGCATAATGAGAAACTTGGTCAAAATGCTCAGAAGTGCATCCGGATACGAGACACCAGAGGAACGGAAAGGGATTTTGCATCTTGACAAATTTGGCATGATATGTAGCTGTGTGCATTCTCCATGTTATGATAATCAACGAGCATGTTTAATAAGCAGATGTACCGTAATTTTCGGAATATAAGCCGCAGCTTATACGTTGAATTTGCCCATGAAAATGTTTACTGCGGCTTATACACAGGGCGGCTTATACGCCGAGCCTTGAAGAATAAAAATGAGATTCAAATGTGTATTTAATGTACTGGTACAGGAAAACATCTGTTGCTGAAATGAATTATCAATTAAGAAAGTCATTAACAAACCGAAAGCACATCCCTCGAAAATATACCGAGCGGTAAAAAGTACGGCAGGTCGGCTAACCATGCGTGAATGAAAGCTGTCTTCGACAACTGGCCGGCTGTATGTGATACTGCTGCATGCCATGCTGCATGCATTCCCAATGGACCACACCATTTGTGGTTATAAAGGGGTGTACTTTCTTGGGAACAATAACTACCAATATTTTAGCTGTTAAAAGAAAAAGAAAAAAAGACAACTAATACTTCCTAATACAACTAATAATATTTCCATATTTGTTCGTAAGAGTATCTACTGTAAATGATTTGATATAACTTTTGTGGCCCTTTTTATAGCTTTCGTAGTGTAAATTGAACTGGTTCAGAGCATTTTGACTAGAATTTGGAGGCCTTACAAAATTGAAACCGCTGCTGTCGGTGCGGCTTATACGCCGGTGCGGCTTATATTCTGAAAAATACGGTAATATGAAGAAAACCTGAGCTTCGAGAATTCCTACAAAAAAACCTACAAGAAACTGGTATAGTGTCGTAGATAAAAAAAAAATTAAAATTGGTATGACGCTAATTGATTGGTGAAATTCTGATTGCATTTGCATCTTGATTGCATACTCAAGCTGATTCCTTCTGACAACATTAAATGCACGTATTTTGTTCCTGCACTGTTAAAAAAAGGCATATAGGTATGGGAAACCTGCATCGGAAACAGGCATTATTGTCTACGACTTTTCCTTTGCAAGAAACAAAGCCGGAGCCACCTATTGTGGACAGGGCCTAAGGGGTTGTGTGGGTGGAGACAGGTTAAGAGATCCCTCACATAACATTTTGTTAGGGACACAGTATACAAATGTAACTTCAAATTTTCCTGTGAAAAGTTACCTGTCCCTATTATGATTCACATTATATTTTACCATTCCTCAACCAACAGCAGCAACTGTGACTAACATTTTGTATCATTATTTCTCTCGACACCAGCAATTCAGCCATGGTGCGCTCCAACAGCATGTCAGCCAGCAGCTACACACAGGGCGCCTACAGCAACCCTCGCCTGCGCAATAACAGCGTCTCGCTGGATGAACGCCAGAGGATGGCGCTCAGCATGGGCACGTTCTGTCGGGATCAGGATAGCGAGTTGCATGGATCAGCATTGTCACTGGCATCCCAGGGTTCATCGCTGTATGCTGCAATTCATGTAAGTTGCTGGGGGAGGGGGGGGGGGTGGTTCCATTTTTCTTTCCACTGGTTGGAGTAAAAAAGGTTATTCGGAACAAGATATACATTTTTATCTTTAGTTGTGACCCCAGAACAGAGTTCATTACTGTACGCTGCAATTCATGTAAGTTGGTGGTTTGGGGGGGGGGGGGGGGGGGTGGTTCAATTTTTTCCCCGCTGGTTGGAGTAAAAGAAGTGACTCGAAACAAAGCAAACAATTTTATCTGAGTTTTTGACCCTAAACAGCAAAACAAAATGATGGCTGATTTAAGTGGTAAATCAGATCTGAATGTCAAGCCAGCAAGCCAACCCTTGCAAGCTCAGTGTTTGAATAGTTGAGATGTCTACAGAAGCATGTAACAGAAGGGCGAGGTTCACATCCCACTTGAGCATCACAGAGAATACAGTGGTCATATTGTCCATATTGAAGGTAATATTGTATCATTATTTCCTTCTCTTATCAGCCGGATGAGAAGGCCGGTGAGATCCGTCGCTTGAAGCGAGAGCTGGACCGGGAACAAGAAAGAGTGGGCAACCTCTCCAATCAACTCAACACAAATGTAAGTCCACTTGCTTTTATTCTTGTCTTTTGTGAGTACTATGCTGGGGCTAACTATGGCAGGTTTTAAAAAGATAATGAAATCCTCAGCAAGTTTTTGGTAATCCAGAAATGATGTGTGATAGCTTATCAAGTGGCAAACTGAGATAGGAATCGCTAAGAGAAAATATTTTCTAAAAGCATAAGAATTGTGATGTGTTGGCAAAAATGAAGAGTGTTTGGATGAGTGTTTGGGAGAGAGGTGGTGAAATCAGAAAGTTGGATGATCGTCTTCAAGAAGTGCTGCAGGGAAAGCAGTCCTTCGAAGATCAACAAGGCGGAAGATGAGCTGCCCCCTCATTCTTGGAAAGAGGAGACTTGCCTCACCATCTCCTAGCAGGTAATCTGGTCACACTGCAGGTTGGGTGTATGGCGCCCTCTAGTGTGTAGAATATGCCTGTTTCTCAATATTTCTCAAAATACCTGTTTGCTGCCCTCTGCCTGCTTTCCTCAATTGATAACTTTTGTCTTTGCCAAGGACTTTGCTGCCCTCTGTTGACAATTGTGTCGATGTACGTATAAAGTTTGATAATCTGCAATAACTGTATTTTTTTAGGACCTTTAAGACTATTGATTTTCAAAAATATTCCCATCGTCTCTCTGGAAATATGATACAATTGAATCTCACAATTTCTCATTGCTTTGTGTCTTTTGTTCGTAATATAATCTGTAAATATGGATTTAAACATGCTTTCTCATATTTATAAAGATTTGAGAGTACCATTTGAAATTGCTGCTCATTACAGTCGTCCCATACAGTGATTTCCTAGCCTCAAAGGCTTGTTTGTGTTAAAAAAGAAAAGAAACGTGGCTGGCCAACTTGCAATGCCTTTCCCTTCTTCATGGCAAAATAGAACCAATGCCTCCCTGGACCTACACCGATTCCATTAGGCCATTAGTATTCCGGTCCGTAATCTCATTGAATGATTATACAATATTTATCAGTCAGCAGAAGATATTGATTCAAGCAACTCAGGGCCCACATGAGCAATTACATCAAACGCTGAGCTGTGATCACATTGGGAAGTGTTGGTAGATTCACGCTGTAATGACTGCAGGTGGCTGGTATAATTAATACTCAAGGCTTCATTAAGGACGGTGGAGGCAAACCGGTAGATCAGGGAATGCCGGGAATAGATGGGGGAGATGGAAGCATTATTAGGCCGTAAACTGACAAAGGAGCTTGGACTTTCAGCTGTGGCCCACCTGTCTGTGCTTGCAGGCTCCTGTCGAGCAATCTTCATCAGTCTTTCGATCAGACAAAGAAGACATGTTTGCCTCTTAAAATAGAAGCAGTGCCAGCTAGTTATTAAGATTTTTTACCTCTTGTCATTTTCCTTCATTTTTTTTTTGGGGGGGGGGGTTGGGGAGGGGACGTGTTGTGTCATGGTGATCTTGTTTGTAGTTGCATTTTGTGTGATCCTCTCTTGTTGCTTTCACGAAACTTCAATTAGTTTGGAGGAAAAGGACTGTCATGTTTTTTTTGTTTTGTTTTGATAGAGTTCTTGTTCAGAGCAAAAGGTAGTGAGGACATTTGGAAATATATTTTTTGCATCTTGGTATAAAATCTTGCAAATTACATGTAATAAGTTTGGTCCAACATTATTTTGAACAAATGCCGATATTATCTTTGACAGTATTTTGGTGGTTAAAAAATTCCAAGGAAAATATTTTTTAGTTCGTGTTCTTAAAATTGAAGACTTGATCAAGTCTTCAAATGCATACATCAGTTCATTCTAAGTAAGATATTTTACATAGTGCTCTATCCCAATAAATTAATTTCCTAGACTAAATCTTCTTCCGTCTATTAGATTAGTGATGGGACACAACGCCCAAGCTCTGTCCCCAAATCCTGAATTGAATCAGGTTGTTTCCACTCAATTGATGTTTTTTAATCATGTTAAACACACCCATGCATACCAGCATTTGAAACTAGCAAGGAGTCCCTAGCATCAAACACTACAAGTTTGTGAATTTCATGGTTAAATAACAACCTTCGCTTTTACGATGCAATTTCCTTTTGTCAATATTTCCCCTTCCAACATTCGTCTTTGAGCATGATCCACAGATGAGACTCTTTACCACCTAAAAACCTCATCCATAATGCATGCTTGGAACCTCTCGCTCTGATACGCGTCTCTGATTATCAAGTGTCTAGCTCCTCACCCCCCCCCCCCCCCCCTTATGCTAATATTGCTCCCTCTGAGATGTGATCAATTATCTGGAGTTTGTTCCTCGCATGCTAAACGGTAACACATCCTTGGCAAGAGCTCACGCTTCAAAACCCTCACAGTTCTAACAGACAACGCGCCGACACTTAACCGCTTTTATTTGAACGTCTGCAGACGCACTCGGTGAAAAAAATGCTACCCTGGGAAAGTATTCCAAGCTCGGAGATTGTCCGCACTGATCATCTTAATGCACACACCTTTGATGATTAAGAGCCCCAAACCGCGCAGCAACATCACGCTCAATTTAACCTCAAAAATCTAAAGCAAGGATCTCGGTATTCCAGCAAAACACCCTCCGACATCTAGATGAAGCCGAGGCTTTTAGGAAGTAGATTTGTTTTCTAGATTGAATCTAATCAATGTGCTCTCGTCGTGCCGTCCATAATTAACGCATCCATCCGATGTCCCGTAGAGTTGTTGGTCTCTCTCGATCACCGGGGCGCAAGTTATCATTTCTGGGTCACTGGATAGTAATTGCACTGGCCTACTACTAGTAAGTCTAGAACATCACCTAGAAAACTACGAAGGAATTTGCAGGCGCGGTCATTGAGGGGTTTGCCAAACCATGGATGTGTCCCCGGCTTCGTCTCACCAGATAGTTTTATGTCACTGACTGGGGACTTGGCTCAATATCAGTTCAAGCTGTCCTTCAGGAAAATCAAATCCTATAGCACAAAGGCAGAATGTAAAGTGTACAGCCAAGGCTTGAAAAATATTCTACATCCAGAGATGAAGGCAAATCTCAAACTACTTGGAACTTTTTTCCATCTAAGAAATGAGATAAGCACTTACCCCCCCCCCCCCCATAAAAAAAGGCTGGAAGGATTTAGGGGTAGGGAGGCTCAATTCTTGAGCTCATGATTGTCTAGAATATAGCTGTTGAACAAATTAAGTTACATCAGTGTTCCATTTAACAGCGTGAATCCCCAGACAGTTTGTAACAACAAACCACCAAATCTGAAAATGTTTTCGAAAAACTCTGGATGCCAGCACAGCAGCCAGGAAATGGGTCCACCCCTGCTGCGTTACCAAAATGATTTATTCTCTGGAAAGCTACCTACTGACTGCAGGTTTCGGTTCAATCAATTATCAATTGGGCTCTGCATTTTACACCTGTATTTAGAGTGTTGAGGTGTGTTTTTTTTTTTGGGGGGGGGGGTTGTAACATCAGAACATGATTCAATAAGTGGTCTGCTTGGGTCAGCAACTGACAAGCTTCAAATCGAAATGTTAACATTGATGTGCTTGCTACAGCGTTGTGTCAACATTTTTGTCAGTGTTGGTGAGATCGGATTGTCGACAGCATTTTTGTGGGTTGTTCTTTGGGGATGTAAATCCCAGGCCATACATTGGTAAGTAGCTGCAATTTGAGTTACTTTTGTTTTCACTAGCTGTGTTTAAAAAATACTGGAAAGTTTCTTTTACTTAGAAAGTTATCAACAATTTCCAAAATGTTATTGAATATCCTTTATTTTGTTTTACCCAGGTGGTTTTGTGCTTGCACAATTTGTAATGCCCGATGTAGTTTAATTCTGCAAAATGCCAAATTCAGTGCCAGATTTTCAGATGCAGTCAGGTGAAATCTGGGATCGCTTTGGCAGATTGACCTTGAAATGTGCCAAATCAAAACATGCATTCAAAACTTCTCATCAATACTGATTTCACAACTTTTTTTCCTTTAATATACAAGAGTAGAATAGATGATAATTCTGTGCTTACAAATGGCTGAATTATGGGGGGGGGAAACGATAGCACTTCAGTTGTTCAGTTTAGGTAAACAGCCCCATAAAACCGGCAAATATCCTTCAAATGATCAACTTTTATCACTTTGTTAATGGCAAGTAGTTAGTCACCTGTTGGTTCGTAAAGTTGGTTTGAGAAGCACTTTTTAAAGTCTTACAGATTTAAAAAAAAAGCTCACAAAGTTGTGGCACAATACAGTACAAAACTTTAGTAATTCAAAGTAGACCCTTTCTTTGCTTGGTTTTGTGTAGAGTCAGTGATTTCTCCATTAAAAATGACCTTTTCTTGACAACAATCATCCTTTTTTCTGTTGCTGCCGTTAAACAGTCGGTTCCCACCATAATATTTGTCAAGTAGTTGATGTCAACTGAAAATTGAGCTGAACAAATTTCTGTCTTCCCTATCATGAACCATTTTACAAACCTTTGCAAGCCGTCAAAGTTGTAGGGTCTGAACAAACTAGTTCCAATGTTTTTAAAACTGTAGCACACTCTTGTTAGGTTTACCTCCAAAGCTTGTTACCATTTCGAAAAAGGACTGTTCCTTTAATTTTGTATGAAAAAAATATCTGAAAAAAAAAATCCCTGGACTCTTTATAGCAGGTACAAATCCATTTTTCTCTGTATGAGATCAACCGACCTTGAAAACAATCCACTTATACTGTGTGGCTTTGAAAACAATCCCCTTGAATCTGAAATCTATTACAAGCTTTCTGCCATATGGCAGACGTGCATCATGTAAACTCATATTATCTGGCACGCTATGGGGTTGTTTTGCTAATAAAAGGCTTTATCTAGAGCTGTTTAATACCTAAATGACTTTTATTACTCCAGCTGAAAGGATACCATGTACAAAATGAATTGTTTCATTATTCAATTCTAAGTTAATTTTTGTTTAACTTGAATGTAAAGTGCTCAAGGCAAAATCTGAAGTCAAATTTTTTGTATGATTTTGAAAAGTTGTTGGCCAGGAATTACCCAGCGTGAGACAATTCCTGTTTTTTGGGGGTTATTTAAAAAAAAAAACAGATTGATTTCTATATGATTTCCCATCTCATGAAGTTAGTCCTTAG